GGGGCTGTTGGTTTGGGGGGGCTCAGAGCTGGGACGGGATTGGGGCACAGGGTTGGGGCGTGGGCTTATCTCGGGTGGCTCCCAGTCAGCGGCACAGTGGGGGTGCTAAGGCAGGCTTCCTGCCTGTCCTGGCACCGTGGACCGCACTGCGCCCCGCAAGCGGCCAGCAGCAGGTCTGGCTCCCAGGTGGAGGCGGCAAGCGGCTCCGTGCGGCTCTCGGCCACAGGCAAATCCCCCCCCACACACACCCCAGCTTCCATTGGCTGGGAACCGGCCAATGGGAGTGTGGAGCTAGTGCTCGGAGCGGGAGCTGTGCGTCGAGCCCCGTGGCCCCCCGTCTAGGAGCCGGACCTGCTGCTGACCGCTTCCAGGGCGCAGCGCGGTGTCGGAACAGGTAGGGACTAGCCTGCCTTAGCTGGGCAGCACTGCTGATGGGACTTTTAACGGCCCAGGTCGGCGGTGCTGACCAGAGCCACTGCAACCCAGTGCCTCACATTCCACGACCCAGTACTGGGTTGCAACCCACAGTTTGAAAACCACTGCCATTGCACATGCCCTATTCCAGCCTGCTGAAGTCCCGCTTATTGTCAGACCAGTATTTCCATCTTCTTCCAAGGCACAAATTATCTTACCTGGTTTCCCTCCAAAACCAGCTTCAGCTGTTTTACACAGTGAAGAAATCAGGTGGATATCCAAAGCTGTTCAGCTGTTTGAGAGCAAGGTTAGAGTAAAATATAATTTTGTCCTTAGTTAAAAATTCTGGTGACCTTTACTTTGCTTTGGGGGCAGCAACTGAAATTTGATAGAAGGGAAGCCTTTGGATGAACTGAACGGTAAGTATCCTGTAAAATTAATATAATGGTGATGGTAAAAATTCTGAAACAATTCATAAACCTAAGAGCCACCTAAACATGTTTCTTCTTAAAAGGGACATCAGGCAAAATATTCATTTAAAAAGGGAATTCCTCCATGGTGGAAGCGGAGATTGTTACTGCTGACTTAATCTTACATTTCTTCATGTGCTTATTCGTTAATCGTTTGCAATTCCCTATGCTTAGACAGTGTTGTCAGATCCGCCAATTTAGTCAGTTTCACTTTCTACTTATAGTTATTGCAGTTCCTTCTTCTCAGCACAAGCACAATGTGCATGATCTGGATTCAAACATAGTAAAGGTTATGTAAACAACCACCACCTGTATGTACTGTAATATCACTGCCAGTGATTTGCATCTGAAGAAGTGAGGTTCTTACCCACGAAAGCTTATGCTCCCAATACTTCTGTTAGTCTTAAAGGTGCCACAGGACCCTCTGTTGCTTTTTACAGATTCAGACTAACACGGCTACCCCTCTGATACTCATCACTGCCAGTGAGGTTTTTAAAGCTATTTTAAAAGAACACCCTCCATTTGAAGGTCTAAACTTGTCAGATCATATCCCTTTCATTTCTCTAGAAGTCTGCATCATCTTACCATGTCTTTAAAGCCTCCAAGGATTGCAGCTGTGATGATCCCTAGAAACAATCCAACTATGTTCAAAATTGTCGCTGACCAGAGCAAGTGGTAAAGGTGAATGATATCCTGGCAGCTGCTGACATCAATATATTCATAGTACCCACCAGAAATTTCCACTCTGCTGGATTAGAAAAGAATTAAACAACAGTATAATAAAATCCCCAAAAGCCCACCTGGACCACAGAATGCATTCCTGCAATGGACCAGGGGTCCCAACATCAGTGGGATCAGGGCCGGCTCCAGGGTTTTGGCCGCCCCAAGCAGCCAAAACAAACAAAAACAAACCAAAAAAACCGCGATCACGATCTGCGGCGGCAATTCGGCGGGAGGTCCTTCGCTCCCAGGCGGAGTGAGGGACCGTCCGCCGAATTGCCGCCGAATACCTGGACATGCCACCCCTGTCCGGAGCTGCCGCCGCAAGCACCTGCTTGAGAAGCTGGTGCCTGGAGCCGGCCCTGAGTGGGATGTTTCCACAGGTAAGGCCCGCTGGAGTAGGCTCATCATGTTGTGACCTGAATTTTGACATCTCCCCACATGATCATGGCAGTGAAGAATACTCAGCTTGAATACACAGTGACGCAAACATATCCCGTAAGCCCCCCTGGATGTCAGTGAGTTATGGGTGGGTGAAGCTGCAACCTCGGAGTTGTCTCTTACATTTCTACCACATGTCCTCCGGTTAGCACTGGGCTGCTTATTGCCAGAATAATAGATAATTAACCAAATGCTCTGTCCTAATACAGCACCATTGATCTCAAAGCATTGTCCACACTTTAAATTTCTCACCCCTCCCTGAGAGGTCGGTCAGCATTACCACAGCCGTTTGATAGAGGGACAATTTATAGACACAGAGGACACATAGCTTAACCAAGTCTACACAGTAGCAGAGTTGGGAATTAAACCCTGGAGTCACTTAAGTGAAGTTTGGTAAAAGGCTGATATTCTATATGTATGTCATCAGATGTTCACATAGAGCCTTTCAATCCAACCGTTCCCCAGTGCATTACAGACTGATAACCTCTGCACACGAGCCAGCCCATTCCCCTGCTGAAATGCGGCACAGCAGCTGCCACCGATGAAGTACCAACAGCTCTCTTACAGCACCCAGCAACGTTACATAACGATTACGCGGGACGTAAAGACCGTAAGCCCTTGGGACCCTGCGTTTAGATTTCATCTAAGACATCTCATCTTGCACATTAAGCTCCCCCTCCCCGTAAAATATCAAATAAAAAAAATCTGCATTATTTGGATATGGCAGGAGGAGGGCCATGCCAACACAATGGCCCTGAATCCATAAATCACTCCTCTCTGATTGCCACGCCAGGAAGTAAACCAGATGAATCTATAGTGGAGCCTAATGAATCCTGTTTAGGGCACTGTAAGCATCTGGAACATGAAGGTCTCTGTACTCACAAACTACTTTGAGTCTTATGGTCACACACAAATTCAAATAATGGGGCAAAGTCCAAACCCTGCAGGAATTTGGGGGAATTGGTACATTTTTCTGCCAAACCAATTTTTTCATTAATTTTTTTTTTTTTGGTGCTCTGAAATTATTTGTGAATTCAGGTCAAATGTGGCCAAGATTTTGTTTATTTATTTATTTATTTATTTATTTAAAGTCAAAATGTTTCATTTCAAAACATTCGGTTCCAAACTGAAATTTGGCCAATTTAAAAAAACAAACAAACCCAAACCAGCCACATTGAAACAACAATAATAAATTACCCAAAATCTTTTGATTGATTTGAAACAAACTCTTTTTGAGGTTTTTGATTTGATGAAAAAAAAATTAAAAAAAGAGAATACATTTTGTTTTGGTTCTAATCTAAATGGATTTTTTTTTGGTTCAGTCTCAAACCCCCAAAAATCCATTAGTCACTCAGCTCTGAAATTGGTGGAAAAAATCTTGTAATAAAAGCTTAGATCTCCAGTCTCCCAGTCCTGAGTTCTATGCCCAGATCTGCTGCAGACTCCCCTTATCATCTGAGGCAACTCAATGTGGGCAACGTTTGCAAAACCCTCTAATGTTAGGGGCCCAATTTGAGACACCTTGGGAGATTGATTTTTAGAGGCCTCAAGCAACCACAACTCCATCTTAGATCCATGGGGTCTGCAGGAGCTCAGCACTTCTGAAAATCAGCCCCCCAAGGTTGTCTTAAATTGGGGGATCCAAAGCTAGAAACACCTAAAGCCAGAGACCACTGCTGAAAACTTTGGCTTTATAGGGACACAGTCAACTTACACACTGCAATTCTGTCTGAAAAATATTCCTTGACTATTTTTATGTGCGCCTAAGATTACAGTAGCTGGAAGAGATTAGAGACAAAACTGTTCTCTCTTTTCACTGCTGCCTTTGTGCATTTGACAGCACTCTGAATAGAGTCAGTTTCACATTTCCTGCTCCTCTCTCCCACTTCATAATCAGTTTGTGCTGGTTATGTGTTTTCCGCTGTTTCATACAGCACCGGGGAGAGAACACACATTTTAAAAAACAGGTCAGGTCACAACATGTGGCAGAGCATATGGGTGTCAGGTGTAATACCTGAAATGATTTTTAAACTTAAAAACCCCAACTGAATAGTTTACAAGTTGACCATGTCCCTTAAACCTCTAAGCCTCAGTTTTCCCATTTGGTAAAGTGGGGATAATACTTGCCATCCTCATAGCGAAGGTGCCCGGCTCAACCCATTCACATTTATGTAGCATTTTGAGATCATTAGATAAAAGGTACCACAGGGGAGCAGATTGGTGATTAACCTTTTGAACATACTGAAAGACTAGACTGTCTTATAGCAGCATTACATGATCTAACTTCCATTATAATATGGTAGGATTGCTACCTGAAGTAATAATGCAATATCTATGTCTATAATAGCTATAATTAACCAATACTATACATAGCTTCTACCATATCCCGTAGGAGTCCCTAACCTCTTTAAATGCTAGCAAACCAATGCAGCCCATATTTGCTCTTAGCATGGATGTTGAATGCTATTTTTAGTTTACTCACTTTCCACAGTTGTATAGGTCACAGCAGAAGCAGGTGTTGGTTTTTATTTTAGGTGTGCAAGGTCCCCGGCGCTGTGGATTGCAGACCCCCTGCGTGAACACAAAGAGAAGGGGGATACAAGGAACCAAGGAAGAGATGAGCAATGGCCTTTGGTCCTGTTTCTCTCAGGCTTGGTCTATGCACAGATTTTGTACCAGTAAAACTATGTTGGTTGAGGGGGTGACTTAACTGATATAGTTCTACTGGTACAACCCCCAGTGTGGACCATGTATAAAGGTGCCTTATACTAGTGTAGGTTATTCTCCTTTCTGTACAGGAATAGTTCTGCTAGTATAAGCACATTCCAACTGGGATAGGTCCATCCACACTAGGGGGGTTCCATATAACTACAGTTGTGCAACTTGTGTGTGAAGATCAGCTCTGACAGAAGGAGCTATTCCCCCCCCCCACCTCCCCAGTTAGTGACCTCTGGGCATGGACTTGTCAAGGAGACAATGCAAACTGAGAAAAAGATTCCTAGGCCACCCACGACACGGTGGGAAATGCTGGATGGTTACTGGCAAGTAAAGAGATACAGGTGTGTGTGTCCATCCGATCCCGGTTGCCAGGCTTCCTCTGGAGACGTCACCTCCCTGGGGCCAGCGAGATTCGATCTTCTCCCTGTCACTGCTCCAGGACTGCCCACTGCCCATCCTGCACCCCAGACAAGTGCTGGGGGGACATTCCAGTTGAGGAGGGGAAGTCAGGGAAGAAAAACGGATTTTGCTGGCAGGCTGATTGTTTTTATCTGGCAGCTCCTGAAAGCGGCTCAGCTATTTGGAAGGAAAGTCCCAGAGGATGCAGAGGAGTGCACAGGGGAGGCAATCAAAGGTGTCCAATACACATGATTTATTACATGGGTTTCACCCACTCCATGTGATTGTAGATGTTCCCCCCTTTTCAGGGAATACATTTCTCTGTCAGAAGGTGTCCCAGTTTGGAAGCGGGAGCTGCTTATCTTACAGCTGGCCAGAGCTGTCCTTCACTTTCCCCCGGTCAGTGTTCGCCATGGAAACACTGGCACAGTTGCTTCTGCCTCAAATGTTGACCTGCTGAGGGCCGAAAAGGCTACACAAATGGACACGTGTGTCCTTCACCTCCTCTCTGCTGGTCT